TCTTTCCCTGGCACATTAAATCTATTTCAGGGCTTTGTGGACAGAGATCAAGGCTATTTTTATTAGACTATCAGGATGTAGTAAGCAAACTTTTGTTGTTGATTCATTTTCTATCACTGTGTGAACATGGAAGAATAGTAAATCATGCTGGTGCATCTACACCCATGGGTTAGACTAGATGATCTATTCAGGTCCCTTCTGACCCCTAACTACTATGAAATTATGAAACTACTATGAAACTACATGAGATGCTACATTACTGTAGCAATGAACTACAGCAACATAGCTTGTCACTACAGTGATGTGGCATCAGTGAGCATGAACCGCAAGGCCAACGCTCCTGCACTTGCTCATTGCTACTGTGCAGCAGGGTCAGAAATAATCTCTGCATTGCCAGGACTGCATAATAACAACTGTGCAGTTGGGGGCACATGTAGCAATGAGCGACATGTTGTGCACATGTACATGAGCACATGTAGACTCTTCTCACGACTGGGTGGTGGGAATAGAGGGTTATACGTTGTATAGAAGAGAGAGAGTAGGGAAAAAAGGTGGGGGAGTTGCTCTCTATGTCAAAGAACAGTACACATCTTCCCTAACCAAATTAGGGTTAGAGGGTGGTCAAGCAGAGACTCTGTGGGTTAGGATCCAAGGGGCTCGGGGTGAAAGGGATCTGGTGGTGGGGGTCTACTATAGGCTTCTGCACCAGGACGATGAGCTAGACCAGGAATTTTCCAAGCAGCTTGAAGAGGCTCTGAGGTCTAGAGATATGGTTGTCATGGGGGACCTTAACTACCCAGACATATGCTGGGAGGAGCAGTCAGCTAGATCTAACTGCTTTTGCAGGTTCTTAACCTGTATTCAGGACCTCCACCTAACACAGGAGGTAAGGTGTCCCACCAGGGGCAATGCCTTGCTTGACTTGGTGTTGGCCACAGGGGATAACCTGCGGATTCAAGGCAACTTAGGGGACAGCGATGACCAAATGATTAAATTCACTATCCAGCGAAGGGCAGGCATTATACCCAGCAGGGCATGGGTGCTGAACTTTTAAAAAAGCTGACTTTAATAGACTCAGGGGATTGGTTAGCAGGGTGCTAGGAACTAAGAACTTAGATGCGTTGAGGGTCCAGGATGGGTGGACATTCCTCAAGGAAACCATTCTTTGGGCTCAGAGTAAGTCAATGCCATGGCAGAGGAAGGGGGGCAGGAAGCCCCTTTGGCTAACCAGGGGCATCCAAAGTACCTTAAGTGCAAAAAAAGAGGTGTACAGGAAATGGAAGCAGGGAGTAGCTAGCAAAAAGGAGTATATTTCTTTGGCCTACACCTTCAGGGAGTCGGTCAGGAAGGCCAAGGCAACTCTAGAACTCAGGCTAGCATCAGGGGTTAAGCACAATAAAAAATCTTTAGGTATGTTGGGAGCAAAAAGAGGGTGTGGGGTAGCATAGGACCCATACAGGATGGGCCAGGGGGGCTTAGTGACAGATGGCAGGGACAAGACAGAGTTCTTCAATGAGTTTTTTGCCTTTGTCGCACCCTAAACATACATCATGGGCACCAACAAAGGCAACATCAGCTGACCAACGATCAGTGCCAACATGGTGAAAAGACACTTTGAGGGACTGGACGTATTCAAATCGCCAGGACTGGAGGGACTCCATCCATGGGTACTGAAGGAATTAGTGGGGGTCATAGCTGATCCACTGGCAAGGATATATGAACGCTCATGGTGCTTGGGTCAGGTTCCGGAGGATTGGAAGAGGGCTAACGTTGTCCCAATTTTTAAGAAGGGGAGGAAGGAGGACCCGGGGAACTCAGTCCTCCTTACCTCTATCCCTGGGAAAAATCCTAGAAAAAATTATCAAGGAGCACACCTGTGTGAGCCTGCTGGCTAATGTGATGCAGATGGGTAACCAACATGGGTTTTTAGCAAGCAGGTCCTGCCCGACTAACCTAGTTTCCTTTTATGACAAGGCCACCAATTGTTTAGATGCAGGAGTTGAGGTAGATGTTATCTATCTGGACTTCAAGAAGGCCTTTGACAAGGTATCCCATACCATCCTTATAAATAAACTGAGGGGATTTGCCTTGGATGATTACACAGTAGAATGGGTAGCAAATTGGCTCAAGGATCACACTCAGAGGTGGTGGTGGATGGGTCAGTGTCAACCTAGAGATGTGTGTGCAGTGGAGTCCCTCAGGGCTCAGATCTGGGGCTGGTGCTGTTCAACATCTTCATTAGTGATCTGGATGAGGGGGTGGGAAGCACCCTGTCCAAATTTGCGGATGACACAAAATTATGGGGTGCAGCTAACACCCTGGAGAGGTGGAACCAGATCCAGGCTGACCTAGACAGGCTGGGGAAGTGGGCAGAGAGCAACAGGATGGAATTCAATAAGGACAAGTGCAAGGTGCTGCATCTAGGGAGGAAGAACTGCCATCATACCTACAGGCTGGGGGGTGACCGTCTCAGCTCCACTGAGGCAGAAAAAGATCTTGGAGTCACTGTTGACTCTAGGATGAACATGAGTCGCCAATGTGATGAAGCAGTTGGCAGAGCCAATCGCACCTTGTTGTGCATCCGTAGGTGCTTCACAAACAGGTCCAGGCAAGAGGACGCTTGTCTGCCTGTACAAGAATGCCAGGAGCTTGGGGAATAAATAGGAGGAACTTCTATTCCTGCTTAACGCAAATAATTATGATGTCATAGGGATAATGGAGACCTGGTGGGACTCCACCCATGACTGGACCACAGGTATAAACAGCTATACCCTGTACAGGAGAGATTGAGCAGACAAAAGGGGCGGGGGTGTAGCTCTCTATTTCAAGGAGAGCTACGCATTCCTGTTCCTGCAAGCTGATATTGGCAACCAGGGTGGACGGCTGGAGACCCTCTGGGTTAAAATCTGTGGGGAACATGGCACAGGGGACACGATGGAGGGAGCCTACTACAGACCTCCCACCCAAAGTCAAGAGTTTGAGCAGGAGTTCGCTAGGGAACTGGCTGAGGCCACATGCTCCAGGTCCATGGTTGTCATGGGAGACTTCAACTACCCAGACATCTCGTGGGAAGAGCGCTTAGCTAAATCTGAGTGGTTGAAAAGCTTCCTCTGATGCATGGATGACCTCTATGTGACACAAGAGGTCTACAGGCCAATGAGAGGTAAAGTGCTGCTCGACCTGGTACTGGCAACTGGGGACAACCTAATCAGTGACCTAATGATCAATGGGAAGCTGGGTGACAGTGACCACGAGCTGATCACCTTCACCATCTGCTGTGAAGCTGGCAAGTCAGTCAGCAATACAGAAGTCCTTGACTTCAGGAAAGCTGACTTTTGACAAGCTCAGGAGGCTTGTCAGTGAGGCCCTAAGGGACCACAACCCCAAGGGGAGGGGAGTTCAGGAAGAGTGGTTGCTCCTCAAGGGAACAATCCTCGATGCACAAACTAATGCTATTCCATCTCAGAGGAAAGGCAGCAAAAGGGCACAGCAGCCCCTTGGCTCTCCAGGGAATTAGCAGACCTCCTGTGGCTAAGAAGAAAGGCCTACAAAGGATGGAGGATGGGATCCATCTCCAAGGAGGAATATTCTGCACTGGTCTGGACCTGCAGGGAGTGAACCAGGAAAGCCAAGGCTACGACAGAATTCCAACTAGCTACAAGTATCAAGGACAATAAGTCCTTTTTTAGATATGTGGGGAGCTGGAGGAAAAGCAAGGGCAACATTGGACCCCTGCTAAACCAGATGGGACAACTGACAACCGATGCCCAGGAAAAAGCCATCCTATTAAATGGGTACTTTGCATTGGTCTTTCATGAGTCCCATGGGATGCCCCTGCCCATTATGGGACTGGGAGGCCTGGGTGATGGAGACTCCCTGCCCTCCATCAATGCTGGCCTCATGAAGGAACACCTTGAGAGGCTGAACACCTCAAGTCAGCTGGCCCTGACCATCTACACCCCAGGGTACTCAAGGAGCTGGTGAGCATCATAGCCCAGCCCCTGTTATGGATCTTCAAGAACTCCTGGCACTCTGGTAAAATACCTGAAGATTGGAAGAAGGCCAATGTGGTGCCTGTCTTCAAGAAAGGGAGGAAAGTGGATCTGGCAAACTACAGGCCCATCAGCCTGACCTTTATGCCGGGGAAGGTCTTAGAAAAGATTATTAAAGATGCCATTCTTAACAGACTGGATAACTACAACATTCTGAGGGATAGCCAGCACGGGTTTGTTGTGGGTAGGTCTTGCTTGACCAATCTTATTTCCTTTTACAACCAGGTGACCTATCACCTGGACAAGGGAGAGGAGATTGATGTCATATATCTTGACTTCAAAAAAATCCAGACCACAACAGAAGAGTAAAGCATAGCAGGGAAAAGAATACACCACGGCATCTCTAGAAATACAGCTAAGGAACTTAAGTGCCTTTGTACCTAAGTTGCTTAAAAAAATTAGTTAAAAATTAGGACTCATTAAAAATGAGTCAGTAGTGTGCCCTTGTTGCCAAGAAAGCTAACAGCATACTGGGCTGCATTAGTGGGAGCATTGCCAGCAGATCAAGGGAAGTAATTATTTCATTCCTTCTGCACTGGTGAGGCCACATCTGGAGCACTGTGCCCAGTTCTGGGCCCCGCACTGTAGAAAGGATGTAGACAAGTTGGAGAGAGTCCAGCGGAAAGCAGTGAAAATGGTGATGGGGCTGGGGCACATGACTTCTGAGGAGAGGCTGAGGGAACTGGGTTTATTTAGTCTGCAGAAGAGAAGACTGAGAGGGGATTTGATATTAGCCTTTCGTTAGCTAAAGGATGATTCCAAAGAGGATAGAGCTAGACTGTTCTTAGTGGTGGCATATGACAGAACAAGGAGCAATAGTCTCAAGTTCCAGCAAGCAAGGTTTAAGTTGGATATTAAGAAAAACGTTCCCATGAGTAGGGTGGAGAAACATTGGAACAGGTTACCTAGAGAGGGTGGTGGAATCTCCATCCTAGGAGGTTTTTAAGGCCTGGATTGACAGAGCCCTGGCTAGAATGATCTAGTTGAGGATGGTCCTGGTTTGAGCAGGGGGTTGGACTAGATGACCTCCTAAGGCCCCTTCCAACCCTAATTTTCTGTGATTCTGAGTTATATGTATTTGAAAATTTTATCTTTGTTCTCATGATGTTGTCACAGCCAACTTATGCACATAACTTGGCTCACTGCAAACTAGCCTAAAACACGCTTCTTAGTGTATCTTAGAATAGACTCCCTCCAGAAGTGGTGCAAGCACCTACTCTGGACTCCTTTAAAAAGCGTTTGGATGCTTATCTTGCTGGGATCCTTTGACCCCGACTGACTTCCTGCCCTTGGGGCAGGGGGCTGGACTCAATGCTCTCCCGAGGTCCCTTCCAGCCCTAATGTCTATGAAATCTATGATTCTCCCCCTCTATGCAGCACTGGTCAGACTGCAGCTGGATTACTGTGTCCAGTTCTGGATGCCGCAGTTCAAGCGGGATGCAGACAACCTGGAGAGGGTCCTAAGAAGAGCCACTCACCTGATTAGAGGTCTGCAGGGACAGCCCTACAAGGAAAGGCTAAGGGACCTTAACCTCTTCAGCCTCTCCAAGAGAAGGCTGAGATGGGATCTTGTGGCGGCGTACAAATTCATACGGAGAGAGCAACATGAAGTAGGCAACGATCTGTTCACCAGGGAACCGCCTAGAACGACAAGGAAAAATGGCCATAAGCTACTAGAGAGAAGATTCAGGCTGGACATGAGGAGAAAGTTCTTTACGGTCAGGGTTGCCAGAATCTGGAATGGGCTCCCAACGGAGGTGGTGCTTACCCCATCCTTGGGGGTCTTCAAGAGGAAACTGGACAGGCACCTGGCTGGGATCACTTGACCCCAGGGTTGGTGACTCTTTTCTTGCCTGCCAGGGGCAGAGGGTTGGACTAGATGGCCCACTGAGGTCCCTTCCAACTCTATGAATCTATGTGCCCACTGGGTACTTTCTTTAGGTGATAACTTGATCCACTTTACTAAGCTATTCATTTTCATTGATTTTTAGCAGTAGTATTAATGGGCTTTAGGTGGCATCCGGTTCAGATCTTTTAGTTCACTAAAACATGGGGCAAAAGAAGGAGCTGTTCCCTTGGCTAACAGCAAAGAATTCTTGAATACAGAACAAGTCCATTTTGCAAACAAAAAAAGACACATAATAAAGGTTCAGTAGCTTGGTCTAAAGTACCTGGATTTTAGGATATTTTTTTCTGAGATTTATCAGTTAAGTATATGGAAATCCTTCCATTTCAAGGAAGGGTTACACAGGTGCAAATAGCAGCGAACTTGGGCTCATCTCAAGTAGCAAATTGCTAACAACATTCTATATGATGTCTTATCACTGTGTTTGGGAACCATTGAATAAAGCAATAAAAGGCTTAAGCCTGACCCTCGCTCCAGATGTATCCTGAGGCCCAGTCAGAGTCAACCCAACCATAGATGGATTTGTGTTCACTATGACTATGGAGTCAAATGTGACTGGATGTGCTAATTGCATCACATGCCTTGTGTTGGGCATAAAAATTGTTGTGCCTTAGCCATGCTAGTGGGATGAGCTGTCTAAGTTTGGGTCAGCCTTTAACATTGACCCTCCATGGAAAGTTGGTGCTGTAGATCCAGAAAGGTTATTGATCACACCAAGTCGTGTGGTTGAATGTTTTGTTTTCATCTAATGGTATGCAATACTGATGTGTTCTTTTTTGTTCCTTTACAGTGTGCAGAAGGATAGAACATCTAGATGTTGTGTTTGTGATTGATGGTTCTGGAAGCATAAGTGACTCAGAATACCAAACCATGAAAGACTTCATGATCACCGTGGTGAAAAAATCTGATGTTGGCCCAGACAGAGTTCAGTTTGGAGCTGTAAAATATTCTACCACACCAGAAACGTTTTTCCACCTTAATAAATTTAGTACAAAATCTGAGATTGTTGAGGCCATCCAGGCAGACAAATCGATAGGATTAAATACTTACACAGCTGCAGCACTTAGCCATTCAGAAACTCTATTCACTGAGAGACATGGCAGCCGCATAAAAAATGGAGTTCCACAGGTTCTTATAGTGATCACTGATGGTGAATCACATGATAAAGACAAACTTAAGGACACAGCCAAAAGGTTAAGAGACAAAGGAATTCTTATCTATGCAGTTGGGATACAAAGAGCAAACCGTGAGGAACTATTGATGATGGCAGGAGCAGAAGACAAAAGTTTCTATGTTAATACATTTGAAGGACTCAAAAGCCTCTCCATAAATGTAACAGATGATATATGCCAGGTTTCACAATCAAGTAAATATTTGACCATTCTATTCCATTTATAATTTTTTCATAACTTTATTTTTAAAAATGAATATTGAGAGATTGAGACATTCATCTGTAAACTTGTTAATTATGTATATAGAACTTCTACCACTACAGCTAGCTCACAGTTCTCCAGAAGTTATTAAAAATATTTTAAACAATAAGGAATATGATTGCATACTCAATAATCTCTTGGTTATTAGGCCTTTGTGAATAGAGAAGTATTCGATTTGAATTAGGATTCAGCCAATTAAGAGGACAGTGATGAAATTTATATCACTGTCCTGAACTGATTGGGCCAAATTGGCTTCTGAAGATTTGGCACTGATTCAGAGAGATTTGGTCATTCAGATTGGCTGGGGAGAGTTAGGCATAGCTGCAGGTTCTCCCGTGGTTCCTCTGGCTGTGCCTGCCTCTCCCCTGGCAGGGGGAGCCACGGGAGAAGACCCCATGCCTTCCCTGCCCAGCTCCATCTCCCGCCCAGCCCCATCCTAGTCCCAGCACTAAAAAAAAAAAAAAAAAAAGCCCTGCACTCACCAGCTGCAGCAGGGCTCGTGGTAGAGCCCCCCTGTGCAGCATGGGGTAGTGGTGGCAGTGGGGATCATTCCCCCGCTTGGCACCTGGCAAAGGTGCACCTGGGGCCACTGGGGCTGAGCAGTGCCAGGCTCCTGCTGACACGTGGAGCTACCCCAGCTCCCAGACAGAGTGCGATGCCCTGCTGAGCTGCACTGAACCGACACCGTGGGGCAGCTGCTGCACGGGTGCCAAGTTGTGGGGGGCGGGGGGCAGCGTGATCTAGATGTGTTGAACATGCAGAGAGTTTAGGCATTTGCAGTTTAGGTGATAAGATAGCTAGACAGGAATCTAGAAACAACTTGTAGTAAGAGGAGAGAAACAATAATTCAAATAGCCTTTTATATAAAAAAAAAATTAGAAATTAACCAATGAGATGTATACAAAATCCCCGAAGCAAATTCATGATTTAGTAACTGTAGCCCCTTCTGTGCTTAGATTATTTTGTCTTTATTTATTTAAAATTGGCTTTTGTTTTAAACTTGGTTTTTGTGTCTCAGCTTTGGGCACCATAGGCCTGACCCTGCAGGCCTGACCGTGCATGGAAGTTAATAGGAGCAGAAATGGGCATCTTTAAGTAATAACTTAATTTTCCTCTATCTTCTGCAGAATGTGAAAATCCAGTAGACATTGTTTTCTTGATGGATGGTTCTAAAGGTGTCGCTGAAAAAGACTTTGTGGTTACAAAGGATTTCTTGCTAAATATACTTACTGGATTCGATGTTACTCACAATGTCCGAATTGGCATCGCCCAGTATGGTAAAAGATTCCAAGAAGAGTTCAGCCTGAATGTTTTTTTAAACAAAGAAGAACTAAAAGAAAAAATTGAAGGCATTCAACAAATGAAAGGACGTCGAAGATATATCGGTGCTGCACTTGGGAAAGTGGAGCGCTACTTCAGGCCAGGAAAAGGCAGCAGAATAAATCAAAATATCCAGCAGGTTTTACTGGTATTTACTGGTGGACGATCATGCGATAGAGTTTCTAGAGAAGCAAAAAACCTGAGGAGGAAAGGCATTGAGATATATGCTGTAGGAGTGGGAAAAGGTCGTGCACAACTTAATCAGATAGTTGGCACTTCAGACAGAAAATACGCAGTTGATGATTTCAGTGACTTGAAGACCATTAAAAAAAGACTAGCGGATGATATTTGTAACCAACCTGCAGGCAAGTATTCCTGAAAAAACTACTTTTAGGCCTCAAGCTGTTAATTATGTGCACAATTATAGAGTGTCTCTATGTGCATTGATATCCTCTACACTTTGTAGGATGCCCTAGAACAGCAGTTTCCAATCTGCGGTACGCATATCACTAGTGGTATGCAGACAACCTGTCAGTGGTATATGTTAACAGATTTATTATAATTACTTTATATGACAAAAAATGGGTGGTGGTACTTAAGGTTGAACTGAAAAATTTGCTGGTGGTGCTTAAGGTTGTATCAGTTTAAATCGGTGGTTCGCAGTCTGTCAGAGTTTGGGAACCGCTGCTTTAGAACACAGAATAGAAACATTTTTCTAATTCACATAAGCAAAAATAGGTGTGTTAAGTAAATACTTGAGAAGGGCCTCATCTCAAAGTCTGAATCCAGCTACATTGAAGAAAGCAGACAACTGAAATTTCAATTCTGACTTTTTTCCTTCAAGCTCAACTTTAATCTGTGGGGTTTTTTTATTGTGAGAATAGAAAAAGCCCTATTTTCATGGAGCTGAGTATGGAACAAGCTCCCCAGCCCCACCCCGCCATTGTGGAGCAGGGGCAGGTCCCAGCCCCATGCCTCAATTGGGAAATCAAGGCACTGGGCTTGGAAAGAGCTGCATAGATTCATAGATGTTAGGGCCGGAAGGGACCTCAATAGATCATCGAGTCTGACCCCCTGCATAGGCAG